ACCCCCCGGCGGTACGGGCAGCTGCCTGCCCTCTGCCTGCCTCCAGCACCCAGTGACACAGCAGGGTGACTGGCAGGGGTGGCTGTGGGCAGGCAGCCTGCTGACCCGAATTGGTTGTTGAAACGCAGGGCACAGCAGGGGTGAGTATGGCAGAGATTTGTCTTCCCATACCTTCACAATCATGAATAGTTCATGGGGTGTATCTTAAAATGACTACCACCAGATCCATGAGAAGATGGACGACTGTACTCTTTAAGTCCCTTCTTTCCTCAGGTGCTGATTCCCCTCTTCACAGGGCAGCCGCTGCCCTCTGAGAAGCTTCAGGAGGTTATGGAGGGGCTGTCCACTTCCCTGAAGCAATTTGAAGAGAGGTTTCTGCAGGATAAGGCTTTTATCATCGGGAGTGAGATCTCTCTGGCTGATCTTGTGGCCATTGTGGAGCTGATGCAAGTGAGTGCTGGAATGTGGTATGGAGGCCTCCATGCAGAGATGGATGAAGCAGATGCTGCTGGGCAGGGAGGGGTGCAGCATGTGGTAACACTTCACTAGAAAGAGGAGCGAGGTCATATCTCAACAGAACTGGCCTAAGACAATGAGGAGAATATGGCAGTGGGTTTAGAAAACCAGTTTTTTAAAAGAAATACTGGCTGCAACGCATCTTGTTTCTCTTCTCTAACAATACTACTTCTTTGCCTTCATCCTTTATCCTGACATTTTTTTTAACCTCCAGAGAAGGAGGTAATATACAGAAGTGAGAAGCAGTAGCAGACAGGTGTGTTGAGATAAGAAAATTATTAGGAATAGTTTTATCATACAAGAATATTCTTCTTCAGATGGTACTTGCCCATGCCATGTCTGGAAGGTGCAAGACAATCTCAGACAGGCAATTAAATTAAATTTGTTACAAACCAGTTGTTTTCTCCCAGACTGTCAGGGCCTGGATCCTGCAGCCCAGAAGTGATTCTTTCTCCCAGTTCTGTATCTCAGGGACTGAAAAATTGCAGCTCTGCTTCTCTACAGCACTGTATTAGAGTAGTACAGGCAGAAAGTAGAAAGGGGACAGATTATGTCAACTAAGACATCAGTTCAGTTAAGCACTTAACGTTTTGTGCTGTGGTTTTGCTGTATAATACACCACACTGTACTGTGGACTGTGCAGTTGTCCCTGGCACTGTCAGCCCACCACATCTTCAATGCTGTAGCTGAAAGTCACTCACAATAAGTGGCAGTCATCTCTGCTGCTCCTAACAGCTGTTCTGGCACTCAGGAATTGACCTGTAAATGCCCTTTAAAGCATAGGCTGGCTTCTGTCCCCCCCCAGATAGATACACCCCCGACCACAGATTTCCCTCCTTCCCAGTGCTCCTCTGTGAGCTCCTCTTCATTTTTTCAACTACCTATACCTGCAGGTACACGTTTGGTGCCTGCTGTCTTGGAGAAGTGACTGCCCAGTGCCTCACTGTTGCTCTCTGCCCTTTTGCAGCCCGTTGGCGTTGGCTGTGACATCTTTGAAGACAGACCCAGGCTGATGGAGTGGCGCAGGCGGGTGGAGGATGCTGTGGGGAAAGAGCTTTTCTTCCAAGCCCATGAGATGATCCTCAATATCAAAGAACTGAGCAACATTCAAATTGATCCACAGCTGAAAGAGCATCTAGCACCTGTGTTGATGAAGATGTTGAAATGAATTAACCTATCTTACCTTTTTTCTTACTCTTTTTTTTTGACTTTTTCTCTGACCTCCAGTCCTACACGTAACTGGAAAGAGCACCATAATTCTAACACAGAAATTGCAGTGTGTTTTTCCCCCCGCCAGGTCTTTCCTGTATCTTTGGGGGTGGAAGATGGGGAAGGTTTGAGACCTGAAGCATAAAATTTATACAGAAGGCTGAGGCCCTACAGGCCACTTAACATGTGCATCTGGGTTTTATTTCAGTGTCAGCCTTCTCAGAGATCGTAGAGACACAAATGGTATTTCCTGACAGAATTTGAACCAGTCTACAAACTGGGAACATTATAGAACTGTAAAGGGTTAAGATCATTGTTTTCATGTGTTTTTGACATTTGCAGCTCCTTCTCAAGTAGCAAGCACTGCAAAGGATGCCTGATCCTCACCTCACCTTCCCAGGATGCCTGTGCAGACAAGTACAGCACAAAACTACAGGCAGTCACAAAAATGGAAAAAGACATTGACTTTTTAATTTTCTTTTTAAAGTTTCTCATTGCTGAGGTGTCTTGCTTGGCTGTCCGTGTACATTCCACACTTCTTCTATTTACCTTTAGGTTCCTGTGAGAAGTTTCTTCGTATTCATCTACAACTGTGACTCTTTGTAATTCTTCACTTTAACCACTACTCTCGATTTCTGAAAGCCTGGGATTCATTGGTGCTCAGTCTGCCAGTACACGCGTGGCAAGGGCACTTCTTGGAGATTCGTGCAGTAAAGACCAAGCCACTTCAAAAAGCTGACAGTGGCCACAGCCTTTGAATAATTGCCTACCTAAAATACTCTGCTGATGTTATATAGGGAATACACTGAAAGAATGCATTCACAGTGATTGCTTGAAAGAGAATATAACAGCAATCAGTGTTGTTGGGGTTTTTTTTCTGTGGTAATACTGTAATAGCAATCCACATTTCTCCTAGAAAATGCAGAGGGGGAATAAATCTGGACATGCTCTTCTGAGACTGTTTTGGATGGAAGTTCACCAAGTCAGTCAGCTGAAGTAATAAGAGAGATTTTGTGGTATTGAGCAACATATGCATCACAATAAAAGGGCAGAGAGTTGTTTTGGAGCTTTTGGGCTCTTTTCTTGGCTGTGTTTATTTCTGGTTAGCTGTAGCTCAAATACAAAACCCTTTTGTACTGCAGCACAATTTGTGAGGTAAAACTGAGAGAATCCAACCTTCTCTAGTTTCTTCAGTTGAAAATAACAAATTGTAAAGGACGCAGAAGCTGGTGGGATAGATATCACTGCATATTTCCATTCATAACTAGTTGTTGCCCTTGAACCTTATCCTGAAACCGTTGCCCAAGAACTCTTCCTGTGAAGAATAAGACAAAATGAGTAAATAATTCAGGAATTATTTCTCTCACTGATCAAATAGCTTCTTTTCTTTCCAGTACTACCATGTCTTGGCTAGTGATGTTTCTGCTGGTAAGTTCTATAAAACCTGATGTGTTCTGGCAATGTTTCTCACTCAGATTTCAGTTCCAGGTACTATTGATTTAGACCAGAGCCTAGCAAGATCTTTAAATTCCCTGTCTGGAAAGAGAACTCCATCAGCTTGCTTTAGCAGGAAATTTAGTTTTTTGTGATTACTTTCCCTATAAAGACAGAAAACCTGACTGGAGGCCTTCCTTTTTCACGAATCAAAAATATTAGAAACAGGCACATGTTTATTCCCACCCTTCCCTTCTTTTCTTCCCAAACATTAGCTGAATAGTATGTTTTTATTGATGTTTTATTCACAAAATATTGTCTACAACTGAGTTAAATTTTAAATGGGAAGTGGTAGATTTTTTTTATAATTCTGAGAGTGGAATTGCTAAGTGGATGATGACACATGCAAATGTCTGCAGGGAGGAAAAAACTACCCTGATTTTCCCAAGGCTGGGCATGTTTGAGACTACTTGCTGCTGTGCTGTCCTGTCTTAGTTGTGTCTTCATTCCCCTGCAAGCATTTTAATCACTCGCTCCAAGGCAGGAACAATAAAACAAATGTCTTTAGTTTAATGAAAACTCTGGGAGGCCGTGAACAATCTGCCATTCACATGGTGAACCAGCAAGAGCGATGGACAACGCATATCATTAAAGATGTTTGTGCCAGTCCTGCGTCCTGTTCTAATTGCTGACATCTGACACTTGAATCTTCTCTTTTCCCTTTGGAGGCCGCCTGATATGCTGGTTTCTTGTCATGCAGGGTTTTTGTGGCCTTGGAATTTTAAGAGATTTTTACTATTTGAAGGAGTGAGAGAAATAGAAAAATGGATCCTAAACAGCATCGTACCTGGAGACAATGATTCCTCTCTCCTGTTTACAACGTTATATATTTCTCTAAATTTACCCTGGAATCTAACAGATTTCCTGGGTTATTTCTTCTGCTGCTTTCCTGGATTTGAAGGGAGTGTCTGTATTACCACTTACCACCACAAGCAGCCACCCCCTGCCAGCCTGCCGTGCCCTGGCCCCTCTCCGGTTGGGTCTCTCTCTTCACAATCTCTTTTAGAAATATTTTTCAGACTTATTGCTGGCTGTTTTATACACACTGCTCCTTGTGCCAGTATTGTCTTCATTAGCAGCAGTGAAGGCCAAGCAATTTCCCAAGCAAAAAAACCCTGAGCAATTTCATCAGTTTTCATTAGGACTGTCAAGAACTGTAGAAAACCAAGAAGTCACGTTACACAGGGCCAATTTTCACAACAGTGAAACAAGATGACCTTCTAATCTAGCTGGCTGATAACCTTTCGCTGTAAATGAGCACATGTAACCCTCACTGGACAGTAGCTCAGCTTCTGAGAAACCTCTGATCGCTGGGTTAGAAACCTCTGATCTGTCCCTGCAAGCCAGCCTGCCAGGGGCACTTTTATCAACTTTGGAGCTCAAAGTCCTGCTTGCAGAAGCTAGCTTAGTAATTAGGTATATGGAGTAAAACAATAAACCTCTCTGCTTGCCTTTTAATTTCTTGTAATGCTTGTTGCTCAGGGAAATCTTCCATTCTTAACCCTTCCTGCACAGACAAGCACCAAGTCCATTGCGGTGACCAGAAATGTTTCTCCACCAGCAGTAAGGACCATCACAAAGCTCATTTTACTCATCAGTCAGATGTGATTTGTTTTGCTCTCATAGACTGTAATACGTATCACAGCAATGCACATGGTAAAAAGCAGAAGGCCCTAAAACAGTGTGGTGCAATTGGGATAAAACAGAGAAAAAGCCAAAGTCCTTCCTGGGGCTGGCGGAGGTCGAGGGGCGGCTGTGGCAGCCCCGGGAGCTGCGGGGGCGGTGCAAGACCCCAGCTGCAGGCTCCCGCCCCGCCGGGGCTGCGCTGCC